CTGAAGCACCTTCACATCTTTCTCTCTGTCCTTGATTCTCTGCTGGATTTTTAGTCGACTCCCCTCGAGTTCTCTCTGCCTCTCAGTCCGTTCTGCTGCGGCGGAGACTGTGTCGTGGTCTTTGTGTTCATCCACGGAGCAGAGATAACAGATACACTGCTGATCAGTGCGGCAGAACATCTTCATCACCTCATCGTGACGAGAGCAGATGTTCTCCTGGAGCTTCTTGGAGGGCTCCACCAACGTGTGTTTCTTTAATGGAGCTGCATCATAATGAGGCTGGAGGTGCTTCTCACAGTAAGAGGCCAGACACACCAGACAGGACTTGTGGGCTTTCAGTTTCCTCCCAGTGCAGACATCACAGGCCACATCTTCAGCTCCAGCATAGCAGTGATCAGCAGGAGCAGCCTGGAGTCCAGTCTTCTTCAGCTCCTCTACTAAAACTGCTAACGTGGTGTTTTTCACCAGGACAGGCCTCGGTATGAAGAACTTTCTACACTGAGGACATCTGTGGATATTCTTCTGATCCTCTTCATCCCAGAATCTTTTAATGCAGTTCATGCAGTAGCTATGTCCACAGGGAATAGTCGCTGGCTCCTTCAGTAGATCCAGACAGATCGGACAAGAAATTGTTTCCAGGTCCAGCTGAACTCCTTTCTGCGCCATTTCACCTCTCAGTGGTAATGACTTCCTTCAGAACAGAAAGTACTCTGTCTTATGATGCTTTCTCCAGGAAGTGGGCCTGTCAGGTCTTGCACTTCGCCACATGTTGGTTACACCCATCTTCAGTGATCTGAAGGGGAGGGACAGAGTGGAGCATGCTGTGTCCAAAGTTATGAATTGAAAGGAGGGATGATCAGACTTTAACGTATTCTAGGAGAGATACTGGGCTTAACCCTTTCTTTGCAGCAGAGCTCATTTGCCTTTTAAATGTCTGGTCAACCAACATTTTGGTGGTGAACTTTGGAGAAACAGCTTCCCAGTTTTCAGAATTACACATTCTGCACTCATTAAGGTTGTTTGCTTTTCTGGCAGAAATACAGATGAAATAAGGCACAGTGTTTTGATTTACATTGTGATGTTTTCAGAGTAAACTATGACTTCTGTATCTGTACATTTAACACTGATGTAAACACTGGCATGTAATTAATTACATCCTTCCAGAACCTCTTCAGGGCAAAGTCATGGATGTGCCAACCTCACCTCAGCCATGCCGGCACATTTCTGCTACAGTCTGGTTCCTTTTTCTAAGTCTACTTTTACAGTTAGACAGTTCAGCCCCCATGTTGTAGATTTCATGACTGAGCTGTGGCTCGAGGCACTCCCTGTGTAGCAGGTGTAACATACTCAGTACTAGCGCCACACAGCTTTTATTCTTTGCCATTATAACAAGATAGTCAGTGTTATTCACCTCGCCTGCCAGTGGTTTAAAAGTTTCAAAGCTCAAACTTTAAGGTTGTTGTTATATAGCATGAATTTCACTGTCTCAAAGATAAATTCGACTCATAAAAGGGATATTGTGCACCCTTGTGTATATATATTATGAATGCCACATAATCATGTTGTGTTCTTGTGTTTGTCACTCTTCGCTCCCAGTTTTTTGCAGCATGGACTCTCCTCCAACCTACACAACTTGTGAAGGAGCCGAAAGGAGTTAACGCCCCACCTCCACCTCCTAATATGTAATGTAGGTAATATAAATTCATTCCACAACACTTTTAAGAAAACCGCTAACATTTACCACAAGCTAAACTTTACTAAAATCTCATTTTCAAAAAAATCTGAGGGCAAAAAGAGATTGTGTTTTAAAGATATACTCATTATAGACAATGGTTTTGTTAAGGTGGAGAAATGTTTGCGTGCATGGTAGATCACGTTTAGAGCCCTCAGAAAGGCTCCAGCCCACCTGTGGGAAGATGTTTCTCAGATTCTTTTGGGCCATGATGACATTTTAAGCCCCAAAGTACAGCACGCTTGGTGTTTGAGCTGCTGCAATAAATCGCCCGTAACATCATGATATCTAAAATTTATTTTCAGTGTAATGTTGTAACTATAAATAGATGATTTCTTTAATATTGTCATTCATGGTACAGTGGTGGAAGAACTACTCAGTTTATTTTCTTAAGTAAAAGTTGTATTTCAGTAATGTAAAAATATTCTGATACAAGTAAAGGTCCTGCACTCAAAAGTTATTTAAGTAAAAGTACAAAAGCCTAAACCTTAAAATATACTTGAAGTATCAAAAGTAAAAGTACATGTAGCCTACTCATTATGCAGAATGATGCATTTCACATTGTTTATATATCAAGGAATTATAATTACTGGTGTGTTATTTTCCACATCACAATGTTGAAGCTGGTAAAGGTGGAATTAAAATGTACTTCACACACTGCTGGGTAGCTTGTGAATTTCCCACTGAAGATCAGTGACATTTAATAATTATAATGGTATTTGTTTTATTAATCTCATTGAGAAAATTAAGTAATCAAGTAAATGTAGTGGACTAAAAAGTACAATATTTGCATCTGCAATGTAGTAAAGTGCAAGTATGAGGTAGCAGAAAATGAATACACTCAAGTACAGATACCTCAAAACTGTATTTGGGTGCAGTACTTGAGCAGATGTACTTAGTTACTTTCACCACTGTCAGTGTATACATCATGTACAGTAGCTGCTGGAACAAGCAGATGACACATGTGTGTGAGTGTCATCCAGGGTAGAAATACAGTATATATTTGTCTTTACACTGAAGTAACTTTAACAATGTGAGTTATCATGTTGAAGAAAATGTCATCTTACAGTGATCACTTGTTAAAAATTATAATTAGTGAAATAATAGCCCAATGCTAATTATTATACATGACTTCATACTGTAAAAGAAGGTTAATTAGTGTTTGACTTCACAAAGTTCAGGCAGAAAACTTACAAGCAGCACAACCAGCAATGTGGCGTTCTGTTGTGTCCCAATTTTGTGTTCACCTCGTAGTGACTTAACACAGAGTCCACAGTATTTTTTCAGATGGCTCCAGTTTATTGGCATCCAATGAATAACTTTCATTACAGAAAAATGTCACCCTACTGGTGGAGTCCTGGTAGTTATGATTCTGCACACAGAAACACAAACCACACAGCAAGTAGGTAAGTTAAAATCTAATATCTACAGCACACCAGGGTCAAAACCTAGCGTATTGGACACTTAAGATTTTATCTTTACTATTGGATTAAACTATTTGTGGCTTTGGATGTTAAGGGTCATTTTAAAGACAAAATGTCTGGTTTGGGCCCCCCAGCAGTGACTAATGAACATCCACAGCGTTTGCTTTAACAAGCATTCTGAAGCTGCTATGATTCACATGTTTACCTGCTGTTTGAAACGTGCTGTGGTTCCAGGCCGCCAGGAGACACCCATCAATCACAGAGTTCTCTGGATAGGATTTGGAGCAGCAGCATTTCCCACATGAGCCTGTTACATCAGCTGGTAAGTTACAGCTGCTGCCATCTTTTTTTTTTAACATTATAAAAAACATCTTCTCAGCAGCAGCAGGGGCTGTGATCGGCTTCTAAACACTTTAACAAAACCAGTGGTTTGTCATCTGACAATTCATCATAAAAATTCTCCTTAAATTAGTTTTTTACCTTCAGTATACAGACAACTGAAAAGCAAAAAACTAAACCAATGATGCATTTGGTTTTAGCCTTGACTGACAACTGTTTAGAAAATCATCACAATCCGCTGTACCAAAATTACATTAGCAAAAAAAAACTTTGATATCGTGAATCATTGTACCCAGTTTCCTCCAACACTTCAAAATGAAGCTGAAGATGACGGCTCTAATCCATAATACAGTAAAGAATGTAAGTAGACAACCTGTCCTGATTTTTTTTTTTTATTATTTAATATGTATACCAAAAAGATGTAGCATACAATCGAATCAGAAAAAGGTACTGCTCTATCCAGCTTAGCTTGATATTTCTTTGTTTTTTCATATTGATAAAAAAAAAAATCATTGCAAGATTTGGGCTCTTAATTCTCAGCTTTTTAAAAAATGTGTCAGGTGCATATGGCCAAAAACAAGAGGTCCCATATATGCAGACAGTGCCCGCACGTTGACCAAGAGGCCCTCAAGATGCCAAAACAATTTTAAAAAATTTATTTATTGCACGTGCACACTTGATAAAGTGAAACTAATGTGACTGAAACATTCACATTTTGTTCACATTTGTTTCACTTGCAATAAATTTTTTTCAAACCCGACAAGCTTGCAGCATATAATGTCTGAACCTGACCTCAGCCCGACGCAGTCGAGTCTGTACGGTGTTTTTCCCCATAGTATTAAATGAATCGGTCATTTGAGTGCTCCAGCCATCTAGCCTAAAGTTTGACCCAAAGTGTCTGAACCCGACTGCAACCTGAATGCAGTCTCAAAATTTCTGCCCAAACCTGGCCCGTTCCCTTGGGTACCAGTGAGTCCCATCAAGCCAGGTTTGGGTATTAATACTCTGGTGTGTGGGCGCTTTTTGCATATACAGGATTTCTTTACATGCCCAGCCCTACTCACACTAAACCTTAATGATCTTTAATACATTTTAGTTTTTCTGACCATTTTCTTTCAGAAGAAGCTGTATATTACAAGTAAAGACCAGGCAGAATTGTTTCTTCAAACTTCTGGGATTTGTTTCGTAAAACTCAAACCTTGTCTAGTACACACTTCTGAACATAATTAGCCTTATTATAGTTCAAGCATCTGCTCAAATTAAAGTGTGAAAACAAACAGGTACTTCAAATTGAATTTGCAAATGGAGACAGAAAAAACAAAGCTTGTCCAGTGATTTTAAATTGTAAGGATGTTATTGTCCTACAAATGCTGTTTAATCACAGACTACGTAACAATTGTTGACCATGGGTGTTCATGAAACAACCAAATGGCCATGTGTCCTGAACCCAATCTGATAACTTCTCAAAATCTGTCAATAAAAAGCCATCAACTGAAAGCCTAAAACTAAAACTGATGAACGGTACATCCTCTTCACAGTGTAGTCACAACCTGTAAGAATTGTGAGATCCTGAATCAAAAATATACCACACATAAACACACTTTGACTGACGCACCCAGACATCCAACATGTGTCTAAGCTTTGCTTCTTCACACTGCCCCTCCTCCCAAACCACTAACTTTACCAGCATTTAAAATGACCAACCAAACAAACAGGAAACAGACTTGTTCCAAAGCTGGTGGAGTGGAATCCTTGGTGATAAGTACGGGAAACATCCGGGCAGCTGCTGTTCTCCTCTGCAGGGCATTCTGATATAGCTAAACTTTCCTTTTCATGTCCCTTCATCCCTCTTGTCCTGCAGGTTTGGAGAGGGCTGGCTACTCTGCGGGGAGAGGTCTGACCACATGTGTTCTCTGGCTGGAGAGACAGTTGGGAGTATTTCTGTGAATCAAGCACGGGACGGGGTTTGGGTGGAGAGGGGTGTAGGGGTCGTTCTTCTGGGCAAAGACCTCAGTCGGTGGAGAAGAGGTCTCCGGCCGAGGGAAGTGGGGCCAGACCCCCGGTCACATTGGGTAGGAGGGAGAGGTCTGGAAGACTCTGGATGTGGGACTTGAGCTCTTTCCTCACTTGGGTCACCCTCGCCAGTTTCTGCTTATATTCCTGCAGAGGACAATCAAGAAGACACATTACAGGTATGTATGAGCTACATAAACTACTCCCAGAATGTTTTTAACTTGAGTGCTCTGGCATGTTTGAAGCACATCTGGGTCACAGCGGGGAGCTAAGGTGTATTACACTTTAGGTTTTACTGGTTTAAGCCTTCATTTCTATCCGTCATAACACTGTACTCAAAGTAATTTCTGAAATCCAAACTCATGTATGGACAGGATTAAATTCAGCCATTTATTTAAAGAGAAGCCATTAGTAATAATATTTATTTTCAAACTGTGTGCAACTCTGTATAAGTACAGTATAACAAAGTTGAACCAGGAAGTCAAGTATCTGAACTGTGTTAATGCTTACAATGAACAGTTTTTGATTTTACAGTTAATTTTCTTATAAAAATAAGTTTAACTGGGGTATTATGTAAACCACAGGAGAAAATAAGCTGAATTGTAGCTTTAATATATAACGAATTCTTTTATTGTCCATTATCTAGACAGAGTGCATTGGGTCATACTGAGAACCACCGGGAGGAAACAATTCATCGCTCTCAACTCAACTCAACTCAACTTTATTTATATAGCGCTTTACCACAGCACAGCTGACCAAAGCACTTAACATATCATACAAATATAAAAACAACACATAAAAAGCTATAGACAGTAATATAAACACTAACACTACAGACAGAGTCTCATTCCTGGCCAAACGCCAATGAATACAAGTGGGTCTTCAAATAAGACTTAAAAGTAGACAGGGAGGGGGCCTGCCTAAT